TTTTAATGGAGCTAGCCTGTCAAAGATTCGGTAGAGCCTGGAATCCTCTTGTCAACAATCCTCCCCACCATCGGGTCCCACCACTGGCTACATCTTCCGCTCTGGACTCCTACCGCCACACCTTGCACTCAGCTGCTTTAAAACAGCAAATCCTACAGGATCCTCTGCTAAGTCCTGTTTGCCCAGATGGTCAACATCCCAGGGCAGCCGTTCTCCAAGGGGGAGTGGGGATTCTGCATTTCTACCCTGCGTGGAAGGATGTCCTGATGGAGGAAAAGAGGACTGTCCCTGGTGCGTATTTGGGGATCATCTCGCATTTACTTGCACATCTATCCTAACCCTGAGCAGCATTTATGCTCATCTCTTCAAATATTTCTATCAAACGTTAGAACATTTGTTGGTTTCTGATATTATTAAAAATAATAATAATAAAAATTTTTAAAAGCAGTTTTAGGATCACAGCATCTAATTCCATTTTGAGCCCGATTTCCCCAATCTCTGACTTTGAACCCAATCACTCTAATATGACTTTGAAAATAAAACCATGCTAATAGGCAAAAACAGATCTTGTTCTTAGAGCTAAAATTTGTTTCATGTCTCCTTACTACACACAACTTCACGAGGGCAGGCTTCCAATCTGATTCAGTCACCCCTGTATCCCCATGTTCCCCAGTACTGGGCACACAGGCACTTAATGTTTGATGAATAAATCAATATACTTTTTTTTTTTAATGTTAACTCTACCCCCAACATGGGGCTCAAACTCACAATTCCAAGATCAAGAGTTGCATGTTCTAACGAATGAGCCAGCCAGGCTCCCCATGAATCAATGAAGTCGTATTCAAAGACTGACCCTGTACAGCCTTCAAGAGTACCAGCTAGATTTTCTCGAACTCTGTCTTAACCACCCCAATACAGACAGTGCAACAAAGAACATGATAAACATCTAGAAACCGTTTTTTGGTACTCCCGATGCAAAAAAGCCCTATTATCATTCTTCTATATAGGGAAGTCTGTAAAGATTTGGTACAGGGTAATTCTGAATTAACAATGAGGGTGACTCTTAGGACCCCTCCATGCATGGCCTCTACCTCTAGGAAGGCCATTTGCAAACGTTGCCCCCAATACTTTCACTTTTACTTCCCACCAAAATGTGATGCTTCTGCTATTTGGAGAAACTAAGGCACAAGAGAAAATCAAGTACATCAAAGGCTTACCCCTAAATTATTTATTCACTCAACTCCTAGGAACACCTAACACTGAGAGGCCTCTAATGTATAGAACTGAAGCCATGATTTTACATTTCTAGTTCTCAAGGACACACTTCGAATTTACTTTGTTGTTCAGAGGAACTGGAGTTTTTAATTCTTTCGGGAAAAAAAGCTGTTTTTATTTTATGGAACGCCTAACACAAAAGGTTAACATTCCATCGTCTGGGAAGGGAAACTCCTAATAACTTGTTTCTTTCTAGTTCAGCCGCAGACTATACTAAGTCACCAAATTCGAAGGAGAAATTTGGCTTTTTGGTATTTGTGCTAGAGAATGGAAGAATGCATAATCTAATCAGCTTTTCTTAGGATATGTCACCAGTGATAACAAGTTTGAAATACACTGCAGTTCAATTATCCTGCTTGCACTCATCACAGGCAGCAAACAGGTAGGAAAAGGAAGTCAGAATGCACTGGAACTTTCCTGGCCAGTTATTTGCAAGGCTGTTTTTATATACATGGTGGGATAAAAGCCACCGTAAGTGGAGAATATATCTGTAGATACAAAAATTGTTTGCTTTTCAGTCTATGTAAAATTAACTGTAGAATATTTGTCAGTCACACATGTCTATATACACATGAGCTGATGGTTAAACCAACCAAGTTTTTATGGCTTTTACTAGAGATAGAAAGCTGTGCTAAGGAAGAACAGGCAGATTCCATATTAACTAGTTATCATAAAATTGGTGACACAGAGTCTCATGTATCTTTCCATTTTTACACAACCTTCTCTCGCTGGAGAAATACTTTGGGGGAAAAAACACATGGGTTGTGTCTTCCTTTAGTACATATGGAGACAAGGAGCTCTGGGAGGTTTCAGAGGCTCCAAGGTAAAACAAATTTTAACACCCACCCACCCACCCAACCACCCACCATCTATCCAGTTCTCTTTGCCAAACAACTGGTTATCTTTATGTTAATGGCTAAGGCCCTACACGTAGGATGAAGGCAACTGGCTGATGTCAGGAGGCCTACACAGGTATAAGTTTGGAAATCATTTTTATCAGCTCCAGTGGGCAAAACCTACAGGCTAGCCATTAGCTGTCTGGTCACCAAGCCCACAGCTACACACCAGAATCGACTTAGGGTAAACCGCAGAAAGTCATACAGGACGATCTTCTTCTCTCTTTGGTGAATAAACAGAGACCACCGTCGAAGGTGAGCGCTGACCACAGAAGCGTCCATGACTGGTCGTGGCAAAGCAGCTGTCCAGTAAAGCGGCCCATTACTGTCTAGGGCTGACCAGTATCAGTTTTGTTGGCAACCAGAGGAGCTCACGATGATTTTATCTTATTTTAAGAGAAGTTAATCTTGAATTTATTCACTTTTTAAAATAAGTCTAACTTTTTTTTTTTTTTTTTAAGTCATCTCTACACCAAACGTGAGGCTCTAACTCACGACCGTGAGATCGAGAGTTGCACATTCTTCTGACTGAGCCAGCCGGGCGCCCTGAATTTCTGCACTTTCAGTAAAACTGACCATGAAGGTTCACTAGTGTCATGTTCCTTAATTCCCTTTGTGTTTTAAGAACTGCAAAATTTAAAAATGATTCAAAATCCTAACCATGTCGACGACTTCATTTTCATACAAATAATGGAGCAGGAAATACGGTTTTGAAAAATCGAAAGCAATTATACGTTGAAAAGTAAATGATGACAAAGGACAAGGATATTTGGCAAGTGGGTTCAGCTCATTCATTCAAAGGACTCCTAACAAGAATACGTGTACAACTATAGGCCTATTCAATTTTCTCCTAAAAATAAATATACATATGTAAAAAGCTATTATAATAAAACCTTTTCTGGGCTGATATTCTATATCCCACCCAAATCTCTGCACTGTAAAAACGGAGTGGACTTACCTCTGAGCAGTGCGCCACTGCCCAGACAAAGGACTAGGAGGCCCAGCTTCACGCAGAGGCCTTTTAGGAGGAGTCTGTTGTCACCGATAACTTCCCCTACCTCTCACCAATCCCACTTAAAGATTTATAAGCTTAGAGTAAATTCCCAATTACCACCCATAAAGCAAATACAGGGGCTGTTGCATCACTACTAGATTTTGCTTCAATCATAGCACCAACTACTTAATTACAATCACAGCTCTAAGAGCCGGTTGACAGAAATCCTATATGCAGTTTCCTAGTGCATCTTATGTCTTTGGTGTGGGGCGGGCAAAAGGATCTGCAACATGTAATTGTCTAAAAGAACACGTCAAAGACCACCTGGCTGACCCCCTGTTCTAAGTGCCCTCTGGAAAACAGTAAAACCACAACTCCTTCTGTCAACCATCTCAACTCAGAGGGTCATGATGAATCTTTGTGACTTTCCATCACATCACTAAAGTCTCATCACACACACACACACACACACAAATCGCAGCAAAGGAAAAGAAGATGGAATAGGGTAGAAGAGAAACGTCTCTAAGCGGCCTCCCCCAAATTAAAATTTCAAAAACTCCTGAGATATGAGCCTCCATTCTGATTGTGCTCAATGACTCGAATTTTGAGGGAAAGAATAAACTTCCAAAGAGAGTAAGACTTTAGACAAAATCATTTAACACTGAGTTCACGAATCACCCTTTCAAAACATCTGTTTTGAACACATTACGAACTACAACTTGGAATCGGGAGTCGTTCTCAAAATTCTTTTCAGTAAAACCAAGATTTCAGATTCCTGCTAGGTACATAAGAGAGTTTATTTTCCAGGAAAAACTACCTAAAATCTATCCAGTAGGATTATTGCACAGTGGGGCCCACAGGACAATGGTTTCCGAGGGCTAGTCCTCATATAAAAAAAGGCCACAATAAATACATCTATATACTATGCCCCACTCTACCTTGACACAGTAAACACAAATATGACGCATCTTGCTTTAAAAAAGAAACTCCTGAGGAAAGAAAGGGATGGAAATCTCTACCAAGGCCACTTCAGTCAGAAACTGCAGTTGCTATTTCCGGTGCCATGAAGGACATTAACACAGAGACTGACCATTCCAAGCACCAGGGTGAACCAGTGACAAGGTTATCCCGCTTCACAATATTCCACTCAGATCACAGCTCAACCTGAGCTTTAGAAGAAGTTCCTAGTAGATGAGCTTCAAAAGGAAATCAACTGCTGGCGATCAACCCACTAGCGATCTTTAAGTTCATCATCACCACTAAGGGTTGAGGGGTGAGCAGTTAAGATGCTAACAGACCCTCCCTCTAGTCAATTCCAGTGTTTCTCGGCCATTTTTCACTCGTGATTCTTGAACATCACCAAGACATTTGCAAATGGAATTACAGACTCGTCCCTTTCCTGTCTGGGTAGCACCATGTTTCACTCTGATGCGGACGTCCCCACCCCCCGCAGCGTCCCACCCCAAACACTTGGCAATCCATGCAGCAGCCTATGATGCACAAAGCAGCCCAAGTTCTAAACCCTCCCACGTCATTCCATAAAAAGGTCAAATCCTAATCACACGAATAAAAACATACCACTCTAGGAAATACTATTCAATTGTCCTTCAATTTCCTGTTGTAACTGATGAATCATCAATACACAGAGCACTAAGTGTAATTCCAAACACCAAACCATGTGATCCAGTTTGCAAATGGGACAACAGAGACAAGCCATACCTTGCCTACAGCACAGACACAGCCAAAATGGGAAGTTGATCTGCTTTTAGCTGCACGGGTGGTGGGATTTCTCATGGCTTCTGCTTTTTAAAGCATTCACTCTCATTCTAAAATGGTATGCTATACACAAAACCATCAATTTTATTCCAGAATACATCATCTTAATGATAATAAAAAGCTTCTGTATGCACATACTGCCAATACATTTAAAAAGGCCCAAATTTTAACAAAGAGAATAGACAAATTCATCAGACAAGAGATAAGTTACTTTGGCCGAAAAGAATCTTTAAAAAAAATCTGGCTCAACATTCTGCTTGCAGGTTTCTACATATACTGTATATGTGGTGAGTGTGTACGTGTGTGTATAGCTTTTCTGAAGGGAATGGAGTACGGTCTAGCCCCCTGCTCCATGGTTATGTAGGAACTACAATGTTCTTTGCTAGCAAAACAAGAAGTGCAAGGTCTGCATTTCCACCAACTCGATGCAAAGCCCCAAGAGCTTCCTGCAAAGTGAAGCCGGCGCGGAGAATGCGGTCAATGTCTGCGGCGGGAAAAATTAATGGTGAAAGGATGGAGGGACTTGCTGATGGCTGGCTGGGAGGTGGTTCAAATTCAAGACGTGGCTCTGCAGCTTCGGGACAGACATCTTCTCTGGTCTCTGGCCTGTCTGGCACTGGTTTCTGTGTGCCCTGACCCAAATCTTCAACCAGTATGAAACTGGTTTCATACTTCGTTTGCTCGCAAGTGTGACTGACTGCATCCTCCTCGCCTGCTATGAGTTTGGGGGCAATGTCCACACCTACGGTGCAGTGTGACTGATGTGACGTTTTAGTGGAGGCCAGAGTGGCAGAGCTGCTCTCCCTTCTGGATTCCCTAGACTCAGGGTCACTTTCCTTATCCATTACTAGGCCATCACCCGGATCCCCAACGGTACTACTTTCGACTGCATCTACTCCAGCACCATCTGAAGCATCTGGTAACTTCTCTACCCTCACCGATACAGATATGGTCTGATGAAAGGTGACTTGTGAACTCTCTTCATTCTGGGTAACTGTAAGATGCTCACGTTGGGTCCATCTTTCAGAAAGGTCCTTAATAACTGTTTGGCCCTCGGTTACCATTTCAGACTGACAGATAACTTCCCCAGATGTATTTTCTGAAGCTGGTTTATTACTAATGACCAGAAGTTCATGGAGTTCCTTCAAGGCTACGGTTAGAGATGAGCAGGATTCCTCCGCTGACTCCACAGAGGGCTGACAACTGCCACAAAGACTTAAAGAGGGGGAGCAATCCCCATCTTCTTTACCTGTTCCAGACATTTCAATGTTACTGTCTGGGAGCTGTAAATCCTGAGTGCAAATGGAATTACTCAAAATTTCAGATGAAGGGTTACATTTTGATGGTTCCACTTCCATCAAGGGATTATCTAAGCTGAGAGCAGATGCCCCGATGTCCCTGACACTGGCCTGCTGACCACGTGCGGAATTACATAGTGCGACGAGGGATTCTTCAACCGTCTCTACTTCCATAAGTGTTTCTGAATTCGAGCAGCCAAAGCACCCTGAAGGTAGAGTATTTTCTTCTGTACGCGGAAGGTCCACATTCTGTTGTAGCCCGTCTCCTTTCACTGCCGTTTCCAAATCAACACTTCTTTGCTGATTCTGTTGCCTTTCTCCAAAAAGCTCAGAGTCCTCTGTGTCACAGAGATGCTCCTGGTCATTTAGAGCATTCTGTTGTCCAACCCCGTGCTGTTCATTCCCTGGTTCCTTGTGCCGCCAAAGGCCACTCACCTGAGGCAGGTTCTGACTTTCTGGATGCTGCCCCTTCCCACCTAGAAGCCCCGGTGGTTCTTGCACCCTAGTGGTTGTGACAGGTACACTACCTTGCTGTCTTGTGTGGAGATGAGATCTCGGGCCCTGGATGCTTCTTTCAGCAGATTTCTCCATGTTATCAGCAACGATGGCTTCTTCGGAGGAATTCTGCAAAGGCAGGGCTGGACTGTGGTCTGCTGAAGAAGCACTATCAGGAAGATCCTGGAGAGGAAGATGTTCTTTCTTTTCAGAGGTTATCTGGAGTTCAGCTGAAGCCTTCAAAGCCTTCACAGCTTTAGGTTCGATGCTGTCCGGGTCACTGGGCTTGATAGGGCAGACTGAAGCAGAGACAGAGTGAGCAAGACTCATAGGATTACCAATCGCAGGACTCTGTCCTAAAGGATGGGCTGGATGGTTACATCCATCTGAAGTTGGTAATGATGACATTCCCAGTGAGGTAGTTTCTTTACCGCTTTTCTCTATATGGAACAAAAAGGAAAGGAGATTAATCAGCCAGTTACAAAGGCCACTGAATTATTGGATGATACAAATCTAAACAGGACAGGACAAAATCAGGTCCTTAAAGCTGGGTCTGCCTTATATTCACAGACTTATACAAAAACCATTCTCACTGCGGTAGACAACTGAACATCACAGCATCAGAATAAGAGGTAGGTACGTTCTTAATAAAACATGTGCACTTGAATTCAGTATTTTTCTCTAAGTACCATTAATAAACGTTCACATAGTAGCTGGGTTAGTGCAAGACTGAGGGATATTGATACGTCTTTATTCTCGGAGAGTTCAGAACTCTAGAACTTCTAGAGTTTTTCCAAGTGTGTTCTATCACTTGCCCTGGAATCACCTGGGCTGTCTGCTAAGCGTGCACATTCTGGGGCACCCAAGGTTTACTGCATTCTCATGAATCTGCACTTTCAATAAGCTTCTCAGGTGATTCTTAAGCATATTACAAATTTTGAGGATCTCTACACTGGAACGATTCTCACGTCAATGCACTTCCGGTGTTCCTAATGCGAACAGGAAGGTTCTAAATGACAAGTCTAATAAGTCCAGGTGTATCTGGAACAGAGCAGGAATGACAACGAGAAAGGAGAATATGCTTGGGTCTCTCCAAAAGAAAGAGAAACATTCTATTTAATTCATTTCTATCCAAACTTCCTGAAAATCAGGATACAACTACGTCAGTGTAGAGGCAAAGAACAAAAACAAAACTAAAGGTCAAGCATATTAAGTCCAATCATCACCTTACCAAATAGGGCAACTTTAGAAAGGATTATCTGTTACTTTATCAGGTTAGCAAAGTACAACTAAGTGAGAACATTTAAGTAGTTTAAGGGCACGGTAGGGGGTGGGCCTGGCAGTGGAGGGAGATAGGTGGGAACAGGTTTTCACCATTTTCACCAGGCAAGGACAATTTAGACAGACTGCAAAGGACCGAGTGCTCCCAGGAAGGCAGGCTCAACCACCTCGTGACACCATTAATCATGAACTCTAACGCCTTCGCCACCGATCCAGTTAAACATCCACCTCCACGCAATTACTGTAAGATCTTTAATTAAATGTCAAAGGCTGGTAACAAAAATTACTTCCACAATACAATCTATCAGGGCAGATGTGACTCAAATGCTTCATGCTGATTAACATCCAATATGGGGGGCCTGATCTTCCGAGGTCATGAAGCAATCCAGTTAGGATTCAAACAGCTCTAAATCATGAAAATGGTTCACAGCACGAGCAGATAAAGCACTCCCTACGTCAGAAGTTACTGACTTCTTGCAAAACAATCTTCTAGCTTAAAGGTAAATGGCGATTAATTTTATTTCTCAATCTCTAAGGCTGACTGAAGGAGGTTCAATTGTGAGTTAATGCTGACAGAGAAGATGCGTTACTGCCCAGTGTCCGTGTGAGTGGCATGGGGGATATGATACCGGCCTCCGGGCACTGGCATGCCAGCGAGGACAACTGTGTGAGGTCAGGAGAACATGGCCTCCAGGTGTCTGGTACTCATTAGGAAAGCAGCACACAGTCCTCCTGCAGCCGAGATGGTCGGTCTCACTGGCCTAAGTCCTAACTGTAGGGGAGCACTGGGTCAGTACTACAGGGTAGAAGGGGATGAGGACAATGGATATTAAGACGAATTAAACCATGCCTACTTTACCCCACCTTTGTAAGGAAAAAGGAAAAAAAAGAAGAAATTGAGTGCTAGGTATCTAATTACAACCAGCCTGCAAACCCCTATGAAGTCCCAGGTTGGGAGTTTAAAGAAAGACTGTCTTTCTTCCTCTTGAGAAATCAGCCGGGATGCCCAGGCTGCCGTCTCCCAGATTTACTCTCCAGGGAAACAGGGGGCACAGCGCCTCCGGGAGAGAATGTGTCAGGCTAGGGAGAGACAGAAGAGCCAAATGTCAGCTCTTCTTTCTGGGAGAATAAAACCTCAATCCTGCCCGCATCAGTGAGCCTGTGTCACTAGACAAGTCAGCTGGTCTAGGCTTCCATTTCTTCCACAGTGGACTGGCAATTTCTACCTGTCTCTACCTCTAGGTGGCCGTGTGCAGTGCTAGGAAAAAAAAAAGGAACTTTTCAGGTTTTCCGAGGAAACAGACTCACAAAACCCGATGGTGTGGTCCTCCCCAACGACAACGCGCTGTGGCGCTGACATTCTTGATCTGATATGTCCACCACGGCCAGATGGGCCCTGTTTTGCCTGGGGTCTCCCTCCCCTCCCTGGGCTGTTCCAATGGCTGAGAATTCTTTGCATAGGAAATCGTGCTCGGATATGTACGTGTGCCAACACACAGATGCATATACAGGCTAGTTGTAACCAGATTAAACAAGGTGAAATGGATGGCAGAAGCTAAATTCCAAAACTGCAGATACAGAGACTTTCAGACCACAGACGATAACTGGATGGAAGGCTTAACGTGGGGTCTATAAATACCTGGTCTGGGGCCCACTCCAGCTGCAGTACACACACACTACATGCATCATGGCTTCTGACGCTCTGTTTGAATTAGGAAACAGACAAGCAAACTTGGGTTAACAATGCAAACCACACAGCATGCAGGGTTTTGTCTCCATTCCTCTGCCACCTTTACAATCAGGAACTGGTAGAGTCAAGCTTGGGGAATGTTTCCGTAGTCTGGCTGGTTTAATTCTCTCACAATACATAAAGCAATGTGTCAACTTCAACAGATTTTTCAATAGAACTTGGAAAGAAATGAACTTCACACACCCACACACATGGAATTCATGGGCAGACATGTGGGATGGGTGGAGAACAGACTCAGAGATGGGATCACACGGCATGGAAATCTTAAAAGGTGAGCGAACATTTGTAACTGTCACTTCCCAAATTTCCTTCTCAGATGAGATTTATTTTTAGAAGAAAAACAACTCAAAATGGATTATCCTGGGCTATCTTGCAGCCCGTTTTTAGAAGATGTATTAGATATAGCTCCTATCCGGGTTTATTGTCCCATTGATAGAAAAGATAAAGACACTCTGGTGTAAGTACCCACGAAAGAAACAGTTTTTAACAAAAGTACTTTCACCTACTATGTCCAGAGTTTTGATTTTGAGGATACCGGGAAGTCGGTGTTCCAAACAAACAGGACCTGATGTAGAATTATTTCACTATTTAAACATTACAAAAATTAGCACGAGCCACATATCGTCAGTAACAAAAACAGCACATGGGCACAAAACCCATTTTTTAAATCCTTTTTAAAAGTTTTTATTTTTTTATTTTGCTTTTAATATCCTTAAAGTAATCTCTAAGCCCAACATGGGTCTCAAACGCATGACCCTGAGATCAGGAGTCTCACAGTCTACTGACTGAGCCAGCCAGGCACTCCTCCTTTTAGTCTTTCCAATTGGTACATTCCCTTCACTATGCCTGAAAATACCCGTGGTTTCTATTTTAATTTCCTAAACTTTTTATTTTAAGAAGGTAATTACCCAAAGAGGGTAACTGTTAGTAGGTTAGAAAGCATTGCTATCATCAGCTAGTGCTTCTCAAATAAAAACACCAAACTGTGGGGGGAAAACAGAGATTTCACAAGATGGTTATACACCTTCATTTTATGAATACCCAGTATTATGACTAAGCTGACAAAGTTACTAAAACAGGTAAAACCTTCTAAGTGGGTATGTCAAACTCAGTCAAGCTTGCCTTGCAAGGAAGACTAAAACTATTAATTTAGTCTCTGTCTCGTTCAGAATTCTCCCCTTCCTGCAAAAGTCAAGTCACAACCAAAGCTGTACTTTACATATAAGACTCAAAGGTGCCAAAAGGTGTAGTGGAGTGTATTAAGAACAAGGCCAGCTTGGAAAACTGTCTGCAATCCACACCCATTTTAAAGAGGCTCAGGTCTAGACCTCTGGGTGTTCTCTAAGTGAAAACACTGGCAAAATCTGGTTGTTTATTTTGTAAAGATCCTATCTTTTTTTGTCGTTAGAGGACAGCTATTTCCCCGACTTGTAGCTCTAATACATTTTACTATACCAGAAAACACAGCACATGGTATTAGTCACTGATGAATGATTACAGCTCAAGACTTTAAAATAACCCCACCTTGAAAGTTAGTTCTCTTCAGCTTCTAGAAAATGTATCCCAGAGTCACTATTTTATAACAGATGGGGAAGAATTATGCCATGGAGGTAGATTTCAGCAAAAATGTGTTCTTCCATTTAGCCCAGAAAACGTGGCTTGGTCTTTAGATTTAAACAAGCCACGACAACTGAGACTTATGAAAACATGATTAGGTATCCCCATGTCAACGGCTAACCCACTGTTCTAATTTGGCCCAAGAACGCACTATGCAATCTCATTAATAGCATAAACACTGTAGTTTGATTAGTGCTCAATTATGCGTCTTTGTCGTCGGTTCCTCTATGGTGGCAGCACTTTCAGTAGGTATTAAAGAGGCCAAGACTGCTCAGTCACCAGGACAATGTACACTTCAAAGGAAAATGGGCCCAAGAAAAGGAAAAATAATTTTCAGGGAAACTGTAAAACTCAAAAGGAAATGGTCTGCTTACTGTATTTTTTTTTCTTTTTTAAAGTAGACTCCATACCCAGCATGAAGCCCAATGTGGGGCTTAACTCACAACCCTGAGATCAAGACCTGCACTGAGATCAAGAGTTGGACCTTCAACCGACTGAGCCAGCCAGGTGCTCCTATAGTAATTTTTGTCAGGAAAAAACAAACTAGGGAAGCCTGGGTGGCTCAGTCGTTAAGCGTCTGCCTTCAGCTCAGGGCATGATCCCAGGGTCCTGAGATCGAGCCCCACATTGGACTCCCTGCACAGTGGGAAAACTGCTTCTCCCTCTCCCACTCCCCTGATTGTGTTTCCTCTTTTGCTATGTCTCTATCACATAAATAAATAAAATCTTAAAAAAAAAAAAAGAAACAAGATTTTTTAGGAAGCCTACCAAAATGTGCCTAAGCAAAGTAACTCCCTGATGCACCTACCTAGTGACACAGCAATGGGTCTGTCTAAACACCGAGGTTTCCTGGATTCAGAGATAGGAGAAGGTGGTGAGAGGACAAGGAACACATCCATGACAGGAGGATGACACGGATTAGAAATGGAAAAGGCCCCCATCCCTCTGAAGCTCCACCCTCCCCAGCCCACGGACCAGTAACAAGAAAAAAGTCATTCGAGAGCTTGGCCGCTGAAGATACCTGCGTCCTCTACGGACTTTTGAAGAGCTTCTGCTAGTTCATGGTCCGCAATCTCCTCCGGCCGCACGTCCTCTCGCCCAGCCCCGTATGCCAACCGGGCACACTCCGGTAACTCTCCCTCGGGGAGGAAGGTGGTCTGAGAGCCGGTGGTGCCGATCACGAGCACATTTTTCTTGAGGTCAATGGAACACTTAGAAGGAAGAAACCAAAGACTGAGGACAGTGGATAAAACGCCATGCAAAAAAATTATCATGAATTTAAATATTTAAGTTTTATTTCATCTTGAAATATTTTAAGCATTTAAAAAGTTCATAGCAGAATCATCTTCATAGGACACAGTTTACTTATTCATCTAACCCAAGCTCTATTCATTTTTGAACTTAAATGTAATACATGTTCATTGTAAAAATTTGGAAACACGCCAGGCATAATCAGTGGCCCCACTTTTTAGAAACATGTAAGTGAGGGGCGCCTGGGTGGCTCAGTGGGTTAAAGCCTCTGCCTTCGGCTCAGGTCATGATCCCAGGGTCCTGGGATCGAGCCCCGCATCTGGTTCTCTGCTCAGCGGGGAGCCTGCTTCCTCCTCTCTCTCTGGCTACTTGTGATTTCTGTCAAATAAATAAATAAAATCTTTAAAAAAAAAAAAAGAAAGAAAGAAAGAAAAGAAACACGTAAGTGATTTTCTTATAAAGCTGAGACATACTATTTATACATTCACATTTACATTACTATTTACATTTTGCTTATTGCATAAACTACAACTTATATTTAAACTCTATACCAATGGTTTCAAAAGTGGTATATGGGCAAAGCCATCTCTACAAAAGTATTTTTTCTTTTTTAAGATTATTTATTTATTTATTTGACAGACAGAGATCACAAGTACTCAGAGAGGCAGGCAGAGAGAGAGGAGGAAGCAGGTCTCCTGCTGAGCAGAGAGCCTGATGCGGGGCTCCATCCCAGGACCCTGAGATCATGACCTGAGCTGAAGGCAGAGGCTTTAACCCACTGACCCACCCAGGTGCCCCAACTGTTCTTTATTTCATATTTATGCTACCCTTTTTTTTTTGTCTGTATATCTGTGTATTTGACATAGCACAGTACACACATACATGTTTCATATCTATCAAGTTGGAGAATACTGGTCTACACCATGACTAACAAGCAGAGAAAAACAGTGACAAGTTAAAAACTAGGTTTTATTAACACATGCATTCACTCATCCCTTCCACTTAAAATTCTGCACCTTAATTAGACTATTCATGCAATGTTTTATAGGAATTTAGTAATAAAAATCTTTTTAAAGAGTATTAGTGACATAAAAATATTGACTAGATGTGAAATCTTGCTGTGAAAAATCTTACTACCCAGTGGACACTAACTGCATCTTCAATCAGAAGAGGTTATCTTTAAACAAATTGTTAGGCTTCAGAGTGGAAATACAAATATCACTGCAAGCTAATGTATTTACAAATCATTCTCCCTGTACTAAAGAAGCATTTCCATTCCCAACATCTCACGTACACCTTCCTCAATCCCACAGCTCTTCTGCCTAGCGAGTAGGGACTAAATGTATACTTGCAGCAGAAACATCACCATCATGGCAGCCTTTGTGGCTCAGTGAGTTAAGTGTCTCACTCTTGACTTTGGCTCAGGTCATGATCTCAGGGATGTGAGATCAAGCCCTGCATCAGGCTCTGTGCTGGGTGCCGGGTCGGCTTAAGAGTCTCTCCTCTTGTCCTTTGGTCCCTCCCCCACCTCTCAAAAAAAATTACCATCATGTGTTGTCCAGATCCCTACGAACCCAACAAAAATTACCTGAGTTCCTATCAGAAACTAAAAATAACACACGAGAATAAAGTTGCCCAAATAATCTCAAACAGATGGCAAGATTAAAAAGATTCAGAGGGGAAAAAAAAAAAGATTCAGAGAGATTTCACAAGAAGAAATTCTATTTCCACTGATACATAATTTCAAACCATGCATGATGACATCCTCCACTTAGGACCTTTTCAGACTGGAGAAGCCACGGCTTTTCAGTTTTCCAGGATACACAACCGAAGGAGACAACGCGCTGATAACCGCGTAACACACGAAATGCCGACCCCGAGATGGAAGCAAAGCCCTGATTACCTGATGCCGCTTTAGCATGTCCAGTCCCAGAAGCATGTCCATGGGCTGCTCCTCAAGTATAGAGAACGAACAGGCCAGGAAATCGCCTTCAATCTGAACCTGAGCTAAAGCACATTAAGAAAAGAGATTATGGATTTTTATTTTAATCTGACTGACTTACTTATTTATTGTCACTGATTTTTGCTTCAAAAGCCTCACACAAGCTTTTGGAAATGTATCTACCATTCTGGGCCTTGCGTCCTGTAATCAGTCACAGCCAAGGCAAAGCATGAAACAGGTGAGTTAAGTATGAAAATCCAGTAAGCGCAACCATCAGTTTGAAAGCCAGTGAAGGCACCAGCTTGTAAAGTGGATAGAGTAGAACCACGGAGAATATCCGGCTTGATGCAGGATACCATCAGGACACGTGGTCAGCTGGTAAGGACAGCTGGCACTAAGGATGGCGACGGGAATCAGTTCCTCCAATATTAACCGCTTGCTTCCTACACTTACAAAAGGCTTTCTAAAAGGGAAATAAGGGGCGCCTGGGTGGCTCAGTGGGTTAAGCCTCTGCCTTCAGCTCATGTCATGATCTCAGGGTTCTGGGATCGAGCCCCGAGTTGGGAATCCCTGCTCAGTGGGGAGTCTGCTTCCCCCTCCCTCTCTCTGCCTGCCTCTCTGCCTACTTGTGATCTCTGTCAAATAAATAAATTAAAAAAAAAAAAAAAAGAATTAAAAGGGAAATAAAATCTGTACACAAGTTAACCTCCAAAAAGCAAAATGTTTATTACTGCCTGTTATAATCAAGTCTGTATTTGCAAAAGTTGAGACAAACCAATGCCTGTCTTTGCCTGGAGTCTCTTGCTTTTGCCTCTTTCCTTTATTAGTTCTCTTACTTTATATACAAATATATACATACATACATACACACACACACATATATATATATATATATAATTACTTTGTTATTAAGTATATCTTTTTTAAAAAGGTCTATTTATTTTTTGAGAGAGAGTGTGCCAGTACACATGCTGGGGGAGAGACAAAGGGAGAAGCAGGCACCCCGCTGAGCAGGGAGCCAACTTGGGACTCGAACCTAGCACCCTGGGATCATGACCTGAGCCAAAGGCAAGCTCTCAACTGACTGAGCCACCCATGTGCCCTTGTTCTTATGTGTATCTTACAAACAGAAGAGTATATGAAATGTGTACAGTATAAAGCATAACAGAACAAAGATCGATGCATTTATTTCCCAGGTTAGGAAACACAAAAAGCAGAAGTCCCCTACATCTTCCACTGATCACAACTAAGTGACTTTTCCAACCTTCACTACTATCCTGGTTTTTGTTTTCCTCATTCCCAGCTTTTTAAATAATCCTTACCAAGAAGATATTTGCAAACGACATATCAGATAAAGGGCTAGTATCCAAAATCTGTGAAGAACTTATCAAACTCAACACCCAAAGAACAAATAACCCAATCAAGAAATGGGCAGAGGACATGAACAGACATTTCTGCAAAGAAGACATCCGGATGGCCAACAGACACATGAAAAAGTGCTCCACATCACTTGGCATCAGGGAAATACGAATCAAACCACAATGAGATACCACCTCACACCAGTCAGAATGGTTAAAATTAACACGTCAGGAAATGACAGATGCTGGCAAGGATGTGGAGAAAGGGGAACCCTCTTACACTGTTGGTGGGAATGCAAGCTGGTGCAGCCTCTCTGGAAAACAGCATGGAGGTTCCTCAAAAAGTTGAAAATAGAGCTACCCTACGACCCAGCAATCGCACTACTGGGTATTTAGATACAAATGTAGTGATCCGAAGGGGCACGTGCACCCGAATGTTTATAGCAGCAATGTCCACAATAGTCAAACGATGGAAAGAACCTAGATGTCCATCAACAGATGAATGGATAAAGAAGATGTGGTATATCTATACAATGGAATACTATGCAGCCATCAGTAGAAATGATATCTTGCCATTTGCGATGACATGGATGGAACTAGAGGGTGTTATGCTGAGCGAAATAAGTCAATCAGAGAAAGACAGTTATCATCTGATCTCCCTGATATGAGGAATCTGAGAGGCAATGTAGGGGGTTTGGAGGGGTAGGGAAGGAAAAAATGAAACAAGATGGGATCGGGAGGGAGACAAACCATAAGAGATGCTTAATCTCACAAAACAAACTGGGGGTTGATGGGTGGTGGGTAGGGAGAGGGTGGCTGGGTTATGGACATTGGGGAGGGTCTGTGCTATGGTGAGTGCTGTGAAGTGTGTAATCCTGATGATTCACAGACCTGTACCCTAATACTACTAATAATACATTATAAATTAATAAAAAATAAAACAATTAAATGATAAATAATCCTTACCAGTTCTGTATGATTTCTAAGCAGCATTACTGTTTAACTTTGTGTTTTTGAACTACTACTTGCTTCTTTACTCAGAAAGTATTTTTGAGATCTATCCCTGTACATAGGACTCTGTTTCTTTCTCTACAAATCACCCCTTAGAGTACTATAATGTCTAATAGACCACAACTGATTTATTGATTCTATTGCTCCGGGACTTTCTGGATTGCTTTCAGGTTTATGCTGTCATAAGCAATGTCCCCTGAATATTCTGGTACTTGTCTCCTTGTGTGTATTCAGTTTCTCTGACAGTACATATACATATCAAAGAAAATAGAATCAGAGAATTCTAGGGGACATTAGGCTCAACTTTGCTGGGTGATGCTGAATTATTTTCTACAATGTTTTTAGCAGTGTATAAAACTTCCACTGCCCCACATTCTCATCAACATTTGGTATTATCAGATTTAAAATCTTGCTAATCTGGCAAGTAAATTTTCTATTTCCCTGACTAATAATGAACAAATTTTCATATATTTAACCATTTGGGTTTCCTGTTCAATAGCGCCTGGGGCATCTGGGTGGCTCAGTCGGTTAAGCATCTGACTTTGGCTCAGGTCATGATCCCAGGGTCCTCACATGGAGTCCCACATCAGGCTCCGGCTTGGTTCAGAGTCGGCTTCTCCCTCTGCCCCTCCCCTCTACTCCTGTTCACTTTCTAATTAGGGAAGAAAAAAAAAAAAAAAGGTAGTGCCTGTTCAGTCCTTTCTGTAATTTTTTTATAAAGTTTTTTTTTTTTTTTTTTTTTTTTTTAAGCGGGCTCCATGCCTAGTGTGAAGCCCAAAGCAGGGCTTGAACTCACGATCCTGAGACAAGACCTGAGCTGAGATCAAGAGGTGGACACTTAACTGAGCCACCCAGGCACCCCTATACTGTCTTTTTCACTGAGATGAAGGACAGAAAACACACACAGAATGTACATATTCTGAATCTAAATCCTTTATTAGTCCTATGTGCTATAAAAATTCTTTCCTACTTTATGTTTGTTCACTTCCTTTATGCCTTTTGATAAAAGTTCTTAATCTTAATATGGCCAAATCTGTCAAGTAATTTCCTTCTTAACCTTTAAGGAACCCCTTCCCCAAGCAAGATATTCTCTTATATTTTCTTCTAAAAGCTCTGACTTTGCCTTTCACATCACGGTCTTTCATCAACCCTGAACTGACATTTGTGTGTGTGAGAGACAGGGTCCAAGTTCCGATTCATTTTTTCCACATGGATACCCAGCTGTATGATACCCAGCACCTTTCCTGAAAACTTCCCTCTGCTCTGTAAGATTGCCTCTCTCATTTATCAAGGTTCATGTAAACGTGGGTCTGTTTCTGTTCTAGTACTTTGGTCTTGACATCTAGAAGGGGAAATTACTCCAGAGTATCTTGCCTATTCCTATAATAAACAGTCCATATAAAATTTTAAGTTAGCACATCATGTCTCACAAAAAAACAAAAAACCTGCTGAGATCTTAAGGGTATTACAATGACTCTGCTCTTGACAAATGTGGGAGAATTACCACTTTTGACATCCTGAGTCCTCTTATCTGTGACATAGCTCCCCTTTACTTAGATTTCCTTTATAATTGTAGGTTTTCTTCCTATCATAGCCACAGCTGCGAACGCCACAGCTTGCCCATCCCCAAGGAAGGAGGACACGAGGGACTGGTACTTACTTTACTTCCTCCTATCATCTTCCTACTTAAAAAACACAGAAATTCTGAGAATTCAGACTCGGAAGCAACCACTGTGTGACAGTACAGGTCCACCGTGTGTAGGGACGTATATGCAAGGAAGGTGTTTAAACTATTCTTAGTCTATACAAATCAACAAAAGAAAACCCAGAAGCTCTAATAGACAAATATATTACAAAAGAAAGAGAGCAATGGGCAGAAACTACCACTTGCAATAAAAGAAAAGAAGCTTACAATGAAAAAAAAAAAAAACAAACCAGCCTTTTTTAATCTGTACAGTAAGGGAGTAAAAACTAAGAATCCTTGATTGTATAAGGACCTCAAGATGAACACTGATTCGGCACCGGGAAAGCCACTCTGGTATGGGTTAGAAATACATCAAGGGGGGCGCCTGGGTGGCTCAGTGGGTTAAGCCTCTGCCTTTGGCTCAGGTCATGATCTCAGGGTCCTGGGATCGAGCCCCACATCGGGCTCTCTGCTCAGCGGGGAGCCTTCTTCCCCCTCTCTCTCTGCCTGCCTCTCTGCCTGCTTGTGATCTGTGTCTGTCAAATAAATAAATAAAATCTTAAAAAAAAAATTAGATTTAAAAAAAAAAAAAGAAAAAGAAAAAAGAAATACATCAAGGGCCTTTAAGGATTCATAATCTTTGATTCAGTAGCTTCACTTACGGGACTCTTGACTAAGAAAAAATTAAAATGTGCATAAAACTACACAAAAATCCAATGCCGTATTACAATAATAAAATATTGGGGGATAATTTTATCCTAAAAGTTGACCATTAAACCCATACAAGAGAATGCTATGCATCTGAATGATGCTTATGAAATACACAGTAATAGTGAGGAAATGTTATTTTTTCATAAAATGGTGTAAGTTTCTATGTTATATGACCACTTTTTTTTTTTAATGAACTCTTTTCTCAGCACAACTGTGAGTGTAAGCTGAACTTTTTTTTTTTTTTTTAAGATTTTTATTTATCCATTTGACAGAGAGACAGAGATCACAAGTAGGCAGAGAAGAGGGCGGGAGGGGGGGGAGAAGCAGGCTCCCTGTTGAACAGAGAACCCGATGCAGGGCTCCATCCCCAGACCCTGAGATCATGACATGAGCCAAAAGCAGAGGCTTAAACCACTGAGCCACCCAGATGCCCCTATACGACCACTTTTTTCTTTTTTTTTTTTAAAGATTTTTTATTTATTGGACATAGAGAGAGAGATTTCAAGTAGGCAAAGCAGCAGGCAGAGAGAGAGGGGGAAGCAGGCTCCCCGCTGAGCAGAGAGCCCGATGCGGGGCTGGATCCCAGGACCCTGATATCATGACCCGAGCTGAAGGCAGAGGCTTTAACCCAGGTGCCCCATATATGACCACTTTTTTTTGCAAGAACAAAATGCATGGAAAATAAGCCAGAAGGAGATTAAGTCCAAATGGTACCTAATGGTTGAGTCTCACTCAAAAGGATTTAAATTATTAAGAAGGGGCTCCTGGGTGGCTCAGTGGGTTAAGCCTCTGCCTTCGGCTCAGGTCATGATCTCAGGGTCCTGGGATCGAGCCCCGCATTGGGCTCTCTGCTCGGCAGGGAGTCTGCTTCCCTTCCTCTCTGCCTGCCTCGCTGCCTACCTGTGATCTCTGTCAAATAAATAAATAAAATCTTAAAAAAAAATTATTAAGAAAAAGAACAATTTTGGTTAGAGATGAAGGACTGAACACATGTATTTACCTCCATTTACTCCTTAAAAATTTACAATAAAATTTTTTTTTAAGGTACAGATCACTAAGGACAAAAAGCATGGACACAACAACTGAAACATAATTTTGGAACAGAAAGCAGAGGACAGTAAGGAAAACAGGGAAGCAAGCCAGTTCGTATCTCAGAACTCCCCAGAGGCGATGAATAAGGACCTGTGCCAACAGGGTTAGAGGTGGGTCCAGAGCAGGAAGACTGGTCAAAGTCTCTATGGGAGGCACAGTTAGATCTTGGGGTTGTCTCTGCTCAGTCAGGTGATTTCCTCCCTTCACCCACAGCAGACCAGGGGTTTATTTTCTCAAGAGGGCAATACAGAGGTGGGCACAGAGGGAGACAGAGATAGAGTAAGCAGGTAACTGAAACCCAGGGGGATGAAGTGTAAGTTTACTGAGCTTCTAGCCCTCTTCTCCCTTTCAACTTCCAGATCCCCCACCAACCGCCATGACTGCCCTCCCGAGTCATCTTCCAAATAGCCTTCTGGTGTCCCAGTCTTCACTATGAGCAGATGCCAAGGATAACCAGACGTTTGAGAAAAGCATCTAACACAGAAGTCAAATAAATGCAAAATGTAATAGAAAGGTTGGAAAGCAAGGTTGAGGAAATCTGGCAAACAATTAACACACCCAGGACACATGAAGAGAGAAAGAGGAAAAGAAAGAAAACGAGAAGATAAGCCCAGGATAGATGGATTATTCCACGCAAGCAACAGACATCCAGGAGGTGGGAGGGTGCAAGGAGTGAAAAGGACGCAGCACAGTGGAAGACAGATCTACACCTGAGTACAACCCTGCAAAATTTCAGAACACCGAGGTCAGAGAAGAGTCTGCAAGCTTCAGAAATGGAAGAGAAATCTTTTACATAAAGGATTAAGAATTGGGACAGCAGCCAGCTTCTCTACAGCAACACTGACAAAAACTGTGGAAAACAAAGATGATTTCCAACTTAGCCAGACTGGTAGAATACAAGGAAAAAAAGACAAGCTCTGATATTTAAGGACTCAGTTTCCTTCCTTACTTTCTCTTGGGAAGCTACTGGAAGCTGTACTCTAACAAACTGAGGAGCAAGAGTACAAAGAGTGAGAGAAGGGACGTGCGTGATCCGATCTAACAGCAAGGGGAAAGCAGCCTTGGAGACCCAGGAAGGGAGCTTCTGTGACAGCAGCTGTGGAGCAGCTCTGGACACCAGTCCAGTCTCCAGAAGAACCGTCAACAGGACGAAATGCATAAGGAAGATTTACACAACTAGGTAAGTGTTTGGGGATTGAGTAACACATAGAATCCCAAATGACCAAATCCCAAATGACTGAAACAAAAGAATTATTACAAGAAACACAATACTAGACACAAACGGAAAAACAATCACTTTCAATTAGATGGCTCAGCTCTCTACAGTATTTACATATCAGTAATAGCACAACACACACGCTATTTTGAAATATGGAGGCAGGCACCAAAAGAAATGAGCTAAAATAGTTGAAAGGGATTCTAAGGAGCAGGAACACGGAAGTACACAGTGACTGATCTTTTTATAACCAGCTAGAACATGTACATGTGTAATACAGACAGAACAGAGGATTTAACATTTCTGGGGATTAGGCTTGCCAGAGCAGATATACCTATGTAGAATAAATTTTTAAGAATCTGCTACTCTGAAAAGACTCCCGCAGTGCCTTTGCTCACCTAGATGTACCCTTCCAATAATCTTCTGGGTGCCCACTCCTTTGGCGATCCCTGCCCACCGACGGTCCACCAGCCTCATTATGTTACACCTTTCTGCACAAGCTTGGCTCATAATAGTCATCTGGGCACCTGGAGGTGGAGGGAAACATCGGAGAATAAAAACAAAGCCCACACTTGTGTTAAGATTAAAAAATGCAGCCTGAGAAAAGGGCAGAGAGCAAATACACCCCCAGGCTTTTGTCTGAGTACAATTACTCACACCTAGCTTAAGCTAGCCCTTAGCTGTTCCCACCACACTGAATTCAACTTTCAATTCCACGCTGGAATCTGAAACAGTATAGAAACCTGGCAGGGAGCGAAAGAATACTTTGTTGAAATGTAATAATTGGATGACATTTTAAAACTTTACAGACAGAAAAGCAAAACCACCTGGAGGGGACTTCCAGAAAGTCGAACCAGTGTCTACAGATAAGGAACGCTAAGGTAAGCGCCACTTCACACTCAGATCCATCTTCACCAAGTATCTCTAAACATCTTATCAGATTATTTTTACTTCAAACTCTGGGACAGTGTAATTTACCAGCTGAAACCTGCCGTCTCTCGAACAAGGAAGAGCGGAACTCCCCAGCTCTGCACCAACAAGCATGCCCCAGGGCAAGAGGGCAGTCAGGGTCCTTTCCTGCGTGTGTTCACCCGTGCGGCGAGAGGGGCCCGGGCAGGAGACAGACAGTCTCTGCTTCCCCTACATGTAGTCCTAGTCTCCCACGGACTCTAGTCTATCGCCGTGTGCTGGACATTTCCTTCTCGAAGCCAGCAGGTATAAAGCCCTTTCTCCCCCAAGTAGTGCTCACCTCGGATTTCTCTTACCAATGAAGTTACTTTCCTGCAACATAAAACTCGGCACTGTTCACGTGTGACTCCCTGTCTTTCAGCCTTCTCCCCACTCTCAGACTCTGCTCCAACCCTGTGAGTAAGTTTTATGCAATTTCTATTTCTGACCTTCCTTCTTCTAATTATAGCAACCAGTGCAGCTCACCCCCTATTCCCCTCACTAGTGGACAATTTCTCTGGTTTCCAAACCACTCTGCAGAGGTATAATTTAAAGCAAGGAAATAGTTCTGACTCTGACCCTGAGGGATGCAGAATTTCCAGATCTGTCACTGTTTTTAGTCTTAAAAAATCCTCCACGCTCCTCCTCTTTGTGAGACCAGCCTCACACCCCCTCGCCACAGCTGCACAGTCCACCTCATCCCGGCCAAAGTGCTTCTGGCTGCTACAGACCGATGTCTGTGTCCCCCCAAAACTCCTACGTTGAAACCATCACGTTCCTAATGTGACTGCATTAGCAGGTGGGGCGTGTGGGAGGGGATCAGGTCATGGAGGTGAAACTCTCCGGAATGGGATGAGTGTCCTTGTGCAAGAGACCCCAGAGAGCGCCCTCACTCTTCTGCCATGTGAGGACACAGAGAGAAGGTGAACGTCTGCGACCTTGAAGTGGGTCCTCAGCAGACACTGAACCTGCCTGTACCTTCGTCCGGAACTCCCCAGCCTCCAGAACTAGGAGAAGGAAACCTGTTGTGTATAAGCCCCCCCCCCACCCCCAGTTGATGGTATTCTTTTATAGCAGCCCAAACAGATGCAGCTATCAGCCCTTCACTCTGTTCTAAACCCCTCACTTCGACAGGAGCCAGTGTTCCCTCTGCCTCTCACTCCCGCTGACCCTCCTGCAGAGAGTGCCCCCCCGCCACTTTCTCTGAATCCCACTCATGCTCAAGGCCCAGGTCAAACCGCGCCTCCTCTGCAGCTGACTGGCCTTGCCCAGTGCTCTCCCCTCTCATTCAATCCCATCACCTCCCACTCACTTTACTCACGAGGTACCTGACACTTTATGGGCACTAAAAGCTCTTGGCATTTAAGGAAGGTTAGAGTCAAGAAGGTCCAGCAAAAAGGAAAGAAAAGAAAACTGGAGAAAGCAATCTCTCTTTTCTTCCACGCTCCCCTTTCTACTGCACAAAAGCTACTTATTGTTGTAAAGTAAGCGAGCCCAAGACAAGAAGGGCTCCTTTCAACACTCTCCTGCCTTTTCTCAAGCCTCGGCTCCAAGCCCCTTCCTCTGCCCGTGGAGACAGGGCAGTTCCGATGCCCGCTCTGGGGGGAAGCCACGCCTGAGCAGCCCAGACGGCTAGCCAACATGCATCTGATTTTTGCGGTCACTGAGCTGTGGTATCAAACAGATCTGGGGCTGAATCCGAAGTCCACGACTCACGGGCTCTGTCTACCTGAAGAGCGACATCACCCAAGTTTTCTCATCTACAAAACAGGGTTAATAGCTGAACACAGCTCCCTGGGATAACCTGAAGGTTAAGTGAAATTAAGATGATCTATTTTAAGCAGCGAGTGTGCTGCCTGGCAGACGGTAAGGGCTCAGTAAACGGTGAATGTTACCCTTAGGGTCTCTTATGTACGCATTTGTCTCTCGCATTCACACGAGCCCCAGGAAGCTCCAGTTGGGTGAGTCTTCCTCCCAAACCCTCCGTGCAAGTGCCCCGCCTACGGCATTCAACAGACACTTTTTAAACTGACTGATCAGCAAATGTGCTTCTCTCAGGAACGTATGTATCTCAAGACACAAACACCTAGCATGAGCTCAGATAGCTGTGGATGAGCGAATGCAGGAAAGTCGTACTTGAACAGGGCCTTTCACTACTCCAGGAGCTCATCCCACCACCTCACAGGCTGAGCGAGCTACCCAGGATTAAGACACATGAGACCAGTGAGCCACACCCACGAGGTGCTCCGCATGGTCTGACTGAAAAGCAGTTACTACTGCGAGAAAAGGTACCAGCTGGTACAGGCACTGTTCACAATCTCAGGTGGGGAACTCCCTGTCTGCTGACCTGGCGGTCAAGTTCTCTCAGGGCAAGAGCCCTGATTCAAACATGCTTCGACTTCTCGCAGCTCCCGGCAAAGGGCTGCCATACAGACCATGCTGACGTACTGGTCTGACCTACACCCCACATAGCTGCCTCTCACGGCTCCTTCTTCTAAACCCATGTACTCGCAAACTTCTTACAGAGGTATCCCAAAAATTCAGGATGCCCAATCAGGGGGTAGGAAGATAAAGGACATACCGCATGATACAAAACCAATGAAGAAATAATTAAGAAATAAACCTGTTACAAACAAAAGGTGGGCAAGTGAAGTGACCCCCAGGCTCGCTAGCAGTCCAGGCTACTGCCCGCTTTCACAGGCACCAGGCCCCCCCTTTCCCCGTGTCAGGTCAGAATGTCGGACAGACAGGGAGACAAAGACCAAGACGTCACCTGAGTCAACGAAGGCTTTCACAGGGTGTCCGTTCACTTTGCAGTTAATATAAAGCATCACTACTTGGCCAAAACTTTCAGGAGCCTCTTCCATAGCTATCGTCATGTTTTCCTCAATGTTCTGTTGCCTGTAACACACCAAAACCAAGCACAGTAAGCTCATCATTTCCAGGAAGGGGAATCTGTTTCAAAGTCACAACATTCAAAACAGACTTGGCTTTCTCTTCAACGAGCGGCTGAGCAGCAGACGCAGAGATGCTGAACTTCGAGAAAGACCCTGGCGGGCAAGACCATCACCCTCGAGGTTGAGCCCAGTGACACCAGTGAGAGCATCAAAGCCAAAATCCAAGTCAAGGGGAGCATCCCACCTGAGCAGGGTCTGGTTTTATGTGCAAAGCGCTGACGGACGGACGCTCTGACGATAGCAGCCACAGAGTCCAGCCTGCGCCTGGTGCTCTGTCTGCGGGCCGGCGCCGTCGAGCCTTCCCCCCGCCAGCTGGCCCAGACACACACCAGTGGCAAGATCATCGGCCCCCAGCGCTTTGCCTGCCCACACCCCCACGCTGTCCACCGCCGCAAGAACTGCGGCCACACCAGCCCCCTGAGCCCCAAGAAGGAGGTCAAATAAGGCCACCCCACCGGCTCTTCTTTGCCTGCAGGGCAGCCTCCTGCCCGAGCCCCAAGGCCTTGGAACCTCCATAGTTTTCCTTTCACTAAACTGACTGGGGGAAAAAAAACCAACCCAACATCTGTACACCTCTTTTGCCGCTATTATAGCAGCTGAGTCATGGAAATGGAAACCGGTGCTCTCTCCTGGAACAGGTGAGGCGGTGAGATGCAGCTGGCAGCAAATCTGAAGGCCTGCACATGACTTTCTCACACCAAAGAGTTCTGCTCCCTTTCTGAGCTCAGAAACAGGAATAAACCTCCGGAGTATAAGGGTCACGACATTTTAATTCTGTAGAATATGAGAATTTCACAAATGCTTCAATTTTAACAGAGGATTTACTGGACATCTGGGTACATTTCCCATGTCCGGTGCATTAGAAATAGTTGGCAAATATAATATATGGGTGTTAACGGTCTGCACTGTGTCTCTGCTTAATCCTCGAGACTGGGTTTTCTACCTGTAAGTGAGCGTAGCAGTTCCGACTGTAGTGTGGCTAAGAGGTGGAGAACATCTAGAACACAGTGTTGACAGAAGAGCAGATGCTGAGCAAATGCTGAGCAAATGTCTCTCTAGTTACCTGCTATCGCTCAGAAAACCACACACACACACAGAGCACACAGTTCACTTGTCTGTCAAACCATTCCTCCGAACACCAGACATATTCTCTTCCCACATAAGGATATAAAAGGGGGTTCTAGCTTTCTCCAACCTCCCGTACCTTCATTCCCAACCTCCTTTTAAAAACACCAAACGCAAAAACAAACAAACAAACAAAAAAACACCAAATGCTACCAACATTAATGAGAACAAGGGCAGGGGCTGGGCCACGTACCTGAAGACTGAGGCACAAACAGAATGGGGCCCCAGACTGGGGATAAATTAATACCAGTCTGGACCACCATCTGTTTGTGTGAAAAAAACCCCATGGCATGGGGCGCCTGGCTGGCTCAGCGAGTTAAGCCGCTGCCTTCAGCTCAGGTCATGATCCCAGGGTCCTGGGATAGAGCCCCGCATCCGGCTCCCTGCTCAGCAGATAGCCTGCTTCTCACTCTCCCTCCGCCTGTTGCTCTGCCTACTTGTACTCTCTCTCTCTGTCAAATAAATAAAAACCTTTAAAAAAAAAAAAAAATACCCCCATGGGAGTGCAGCCGCATTGCTGGTCTCCGAGAGGTCGCATCAGGTAGGTCCACGCTGGCACCGCACTGGCACAAATGAACCCTTGCGACAGAGACAGCAGGGCCTGCAAACCCTGAAGTATATCCTGCCTGGCACTCCATGGGAAGCTTGCCAACCCCTGCTCTAAACTGCGGTGCCTGTCCTTTTCATAGTAATACTCCCCCTCAACTGAACTGATCATTTTATCAGCCATTCTGTAATAATACACAAAATTTTTCAGGAAATTGAAGGCACGCTTATTTAATCTAGGGAAATACGCAAGCTCGCGTACCCCAGTGCAGTTGCGCCCTGGGTAATCACTGGTGCAGCGTACCAAAGAAAACTGCAGGAAGCACTTGACAGAATTACACGGCTCTTCTCTGATGCCACATTCTTAAATTTAGAAATGAACTAAAATTAGTTGTATACTCCTGACCTTGCATTGACTCCAACCAAGTTAAGTTTCAGCAAAATCAGATTCTGAGATAATACCAGTCATTTTGGCTATTCTGGGCTCTAAATGTGGAGAATCTCTTAAGAAGCACAAGGTATTCTTTAAAAGAGTGTACACGGGGCGCCTGGGTGGCTCAGTGGATTAAGCCTCTGCCTTCAGCTCAGGTCATGATCTCAGGGTGCTGGGATCAAGCCCTGCATCAGGCTCTCTGCTCAGCGGGGAGCCTGCTTCCCCACCCCCCGCCTGCCTCTCTGCCTGCTTGTGATCTCTGTCAAATAAATAAATAAAATCTTAAAAAAAAAAAAAAAAAAAAAGAGTGTACACATTACCTCAGTTCCTTAATCTTCCCCCACCCCCTGCAAGACACACAAACATGCCCCCTCTCACTGCTACTCTGCCAACAGGGCAGTGTCAGGGTTTGGCTATGATGCCTCCCCACTTTCCTTCCCACTGCTCCTGCGTCCTGGATTGAACATGTCTGTTCTTCAGAATTATGTCAAGTTCCCTTAGAGCTGCAATGGAGTCTAGTTCAGAGAACACAAATGTCTTTCTATTTCTCTGGGTAGATTTAACTAGTGAGTTTTTTTTCAAAGATATTCATATACTAATATACTGATGCAATTAATGTGGGCACTTCATCAAAAAGAACAAGAATGGCTTGGGGCTGTCAACTGATTCTGACAAATAAATTTTCCTGATTTCAGATGTAGTCAGAGAAACAAAAAATAAAATAACCATTATTTGACTTCCAAGCTGACAGTATAATATAATGACCAAGTTGGGCTTCATTCGAGTAACAAAAGACTATGACTGCAAAGAACATAGTTCTTCATATACGGCAGTCCCCCCTTGTCTGCAAGGGATAGAGTCCATGACCCCCGATGGACACCAGATACCACAAAGAGTACCAAATCCTACACATATACTATGTTTCCTCCTGTGTACGTACACCTACGATAAAGCTTCATTCATCAGTGAAGTACAGTGAGAAGCAACAATAACTAATAATAAAATAGAAAAATTGTAATATTCTGTAGTAAACATTCTATGAATGCATCTCTCTCAAAATACCTTACTGTACTGTACTCACGCTTCTCACGATGATGTGGGATGATAAAATGCCTACGTGGTAAGATGAAGTGAGATGAATGGCATAGGTTTTGTGACATGGTATGAAGCTACTACTGATCTTCTGATCTATCTGCTTGGAGACTATAGTTAACCACAGAAAACCAAGAACACGGAAAAGGCAGGGAAGACTATACTAAGGCCTTCACCATTTGCAACAAAAACGGAATGGGGGTGGGGCGGCGGCTGTCCTTCCATTCTAAGGGGCTGAAGAGCATCTAGCTCGTGACTAGTAATGTGCCCAAGGCTGGCATCAGCATCAGTGTACCTGCTCTGGCCCTACCTCTTAAGATTCTGATCCATCAGATTTGAGGGTAGAGCACAAGCACCTACAGTTTTAAAGCCTTTTATGTGATTTTAACGTAGCCCCAGGTGAGAACCACAGCATTAGGGAAGCTAGAGCTGTCCACTGAGGCCAGTGCAAGAGCTGCAGGAGGCAAACAGACCTAGGACCACAGAGTTCCATTTGTCCAGAGATCGCTCTCTGATCCAAGATTGCACCCAAGCCTGGGTTTAATTTAACTAGGGCTCACGCATTATGTCTAAGGACGGAGACTGCAGTCAGGCAGCCTGTAGAGCCGCCCCAACAGTCTCACCAAGCAGGGGCCACTGCTCAGTCCCGGAGTCATCTACCTGCAGCTGCTCTGCTGACGCACTGTGGGCCAGTCCCGAAGTCTTTACTCAACTTTTAGAAGAGAACGTCATTAAGTTAGGTACTTGTACCACTGTCATATGTTGAATCAACGCCTGAGGAAAACGGAAGAGGAAAGAAGACCTAAAAGGCCAAACTGCTCTCTCAAATACAAAAACAAGGAGGCTGCTTCAGAGCAGATGCCCGACTGACACCGGCTCACCTGTCATTTGGGAACTCTAGATTCTCTAAAGCTCGCTCTTTAGGAAAAGGGTCATTACCTTATATCTTCTTCTATTTTTGCCTGAGCTTCAAGATCAAAAGGGTCAGCAGAAAAGAGACGAATCCTCTCTTGCTCTCTCCGGGCTCGGTCCTGCTGCTGCTCCACCAGGACCCTAGAAAATTTCTCTACAAAAATAAGGGAGAAAATCTTGAGTACCGCTCTATTTCCATTCTTCATTAGTGCTCTTCCAGATCAAACAGTTTCTCAAGATACAACTTTAAAGATGCAGAAAGGATGCCTAAGAATTATTTTAAATGAGCAATTACATTACAAATACATTGCTATTTTCTGAGGCAAGACTACCTACGTCACCTGAATTTAATATGAAGTACGTCACCTAAATTTAATATGAAGAAATTAAGTCTTTGCAAAAATCATTTCTTCCTGTAAGAAGTTATCCATTGTAGTGTCTTTACCCAGAGAGAACAATATTTCAATTGAAATGAATGGAAGTGACTATCTGTGTGGCAGATAATGGCTGCGTTGCTTTCTTCCCCGGCTGCCCTTATGAACCTATTACCTAGAGATAAAACAGCATGACAACAGGGGATGTTGTCCGTGGTATTGTAATAGTGTTTGTGTGGTGACAAGCAGTGTGTCTGCAGTGAGCACAACGTAAGGCACAGACTTGAATCACGGTGTTGTACACGTGAACTACAGTAACGTTGTGTGTCGACTATATTTCAATTAAAAAACAAAAAACCCATCACCATCACCACCACCACTGAAAACCATGCGCCACAACCCTGTTTTTCCTCTAGTTTCATTCCCTTTATAACACCCTCTGCCTTAAGCCAATTAAGTTAAATGCAAACTACTGTTAGCCTACCTATCTGACCTGGTGAATAATGGGCAGCAAAATGAGTGAAGAGGAAATAGTGCTTGCTAGAAAATGTGTGTTACAAGAACCACCTTAATTTTGCTATTTCTTAAATGAGGATGCATAAAAATGTATAAACTTCAACTTGCCATCATCATGGTCTTTGGCGACTAGATCTGCTACATAAGAAATTAAAGACACCAGAATAATGGTCATATGAACTATTAACACACACAACATGAATGAATCTAAAACACATTAAGCTGAGCAAAAGAAGCCTGACATGAGAGAGGACAGAGCGTACGATTCCATTTACATGAAGATCGAAACCACAATTATCAGAATGGCAGCAGCCCATCAGGGGAGGAAACTGACTTGCTGCAGAGAATATATTGGAACTTCTGAAGAAAAACGTTCTGTATCTTGACTAGGGTGGTTACGTTGAGTTTGCCAAAACTCAATGAATTGTATACTTAAAAAAATCTGTGCATTTCTGTTAGGTAAGTATTACCTCGATTTAAAAGATGGTCAACTGAAGAATGAGCTATTAAGTGTCTGTCATGTTTTCGAATTTAATCAGTACCGTTTCATAAGCCCAAGAATAAAACTAGAGAAATTTACAGAGAAAAACTTTATTCATGAAGCTAACTAAAAATAAATGTTCTATTTAATATAAGAATGGATCAAATACAGTTCCAAACAAGCTGTTGGCAACAACCCTGTTCCCATTAAACTTGGGGCGGGAGAAAATAAAAGGGTTCATTCCCTTTTACCATACAGGCTGATGGCACCAGACATGTTTTCTGTAACTAAAAGCACTTCACCTGGCAGCAAGCTGGGTTACCGGGGTGCTCTCAAACTGAGGGTCTAACTGAACAGGTTAAAATAGGAGTACCTAGGTCATGCGCTGTGAAAACAATTTGAAAAAAAGGTCAACGGAGGAGGCTGGTCAAGCTGGATTTCAGAACTCCATGCAGATGTCAAATTCTCTCGCTACTGCCAGTAAACTCAGCCTTTGACATTAGCCCGGATCTACCTCTCAGAGAGCACCTGGTAGGTTCAAGCAATCGTGTGACGCGGAGGCTTGAACACACCAGCTGCCTGAGTTTCTCCGCACGTGCTGCGACGGAACTGCTTCCGCTTGGGTCAGCTTGCCAGTCTTCCGTACGTGTAAGCTTACCAAGGTCTCCACTGAGCAGAGCATCTGCCAAGGGCGGGTTGCGTTCCTTCAGCAAGGACAGCTCATGGGGGTTGGCCAGCAACATGTCTCGGAGCAAGGCCGGATTGTCCAAGCCCTGAGGAGATGAAGCTATGTCTCCAGGAGATGAGTGGGAATGCTGTGCTGGTGGCTGGCGCTGACGGGAGCCTGACGTGCCGGGCACGGCTATACTACGGAAGTCTATGCGGGGTAAGTCTGTTGGGGAAAATCGGTTCAAAGTTTACTTCCAGGGACTCCATCAAAACAAGCATTTGAAGGAACAGCACTTGCTGGTACATGGCATGTCGTAAATGGTAACTGTAGACATCTGACCTTGGCCCTGCTCCCGCTCTCAACTGACCGCAGTCTGGGTGAACCCACAGGCAAGAATAGAAAAGGGGGTGCCGACAGTGGTAGTAACCCTAGATTTTTGGCTTATACAGTACCCCGGGAGAGATGACAAGTTTTACTTATTTGTGCTTTTAAAACATTAAAGCTAGTCTCAATAAACATAACCACATAATTCTGAATGTAATTCTTGAGGAAAATCCCAGTCCGCTTTGACATGTTTCAAAGAGCCTGCACACCCTGGGGAAAGAATACTATACAATCCAAGGGACCTGAATCCATTTTAGATGTAAAATTCTACAAGTTTCTGCTGAACACATTCATCGTCGGAATTTATGCTTTCATCTGGGCATCACTGCTAACTCTTACGCCCTGGGGAGCGAGCAGGTCCAACTGTTTTACAGGAGAGACAAACAGAAGAAAAGGAACATGTTCAGGTCCTCTCTCAGTGCTTAGGTCACCAAAAGATAGAACAGAGTGAAAGGCTACAACTCCCAGGTTCTAAAATCCAGGCTGGGCCGACCTTATTAAAACGAAAGGAAAACAAAAGGGAGTCTTACACAAAGGACCCACATGTTATATGATTCCATTTATATGAAAATGTCCAGAATAGGAAAATACACAGAGACGGAAGGTAGACTGATGGTTGCCCAGGACCAGGAGGCTTGGGAGGCAGATGGGGAATGACTGCTAATGGGTACAGTTTATTTTTAAGGTGATGAGAATGTGCTACAGTTGATTGTAGTGACGGCTGCACAACTTGGAATATACTCAAAATCAATGAACTGTACCCTTTAAATGAGTGAACTTATGGTATATGAATGGCATCTCAATAAAGCTGTTACTTAAAAAGGAGTTTTTACCTTAGCAAAGAAAAAGTAGAGCAGAGCGAGAATGGGGCGCTAGAACTGAGTGGATCTGCATCTCCTCAATCCCAAAAATGTATCTGAGGGTCACTCCTGTCCCAAGTCTGAGGCCGTCCTGAAGCGTACGGGACATCAACAGAAGGAGGGAATCCTTAAATTCCAGCGTCAGTTTCTGCCTCTTAGCACGGGTTCAACTAGACACTTTCTCCAAACAGACCTCAGCGGGCAGCTAGTAAATGTTTATGTGTGCATGTACACGTTTGAGGGAGTTAATCTATACCAACCGGCAAAACAGAGGGGCGGGCCTTCTCTGTGGGTCAAGAAATTTTATCTCTAACCCTGTTACACTTATCTTGAGAGTCCATGCGCTTCAGAGTAACTCTGAGAAACCTGTTTACCTGATAGACCAAGATCCTCTCCCCACCCCCACCTACTGGCTGTCTGGTCCACATGGGACAGTGCAGGGAAAAAAAAAAAACAAAACAAAAAAACCAGTCACTTTCCAGAACTAACCATCTCACCAAATTAACCAAAGGCAGACTTGGTTTTTGTTGACCGGCACGTTCGAATCCCAGCTCTTTCTAAAGTTTAACAGTAGCCCCGAGGGACTCCTGTAACCCCGATCCGGGAGAACAGTGCATCATGGTCTCTCACAGCCCCAGTTTCAAGCTGAATGGAAGCACTGTGTTCTGAGCTGGGGTTTGTCATCATCACCCAGACACCCACCAGCTGTTACCACAAACTATAAAACCAGCCGTCCTAATGATTAAAAACTGTTGAAAGAAATCTATCCAAAGATAACAGGGAATGGAAAACACTATTACATTTCATCAAACAGTTCCCTCTCATAACCCTGTCAACTTTCTACAGATCAGGAACCCCTTTGAGCATCTGAAGAAAGCTACGGACCCTTTCTCCATCAAATGCACACATGCTCAAAGCTACCCAATTCTGTGATTCTTTCAGGGACACAGAATCACTCTAAATCCCAATGCACAGATTCCAGATTATAAACCCCTAATCTGGATGGAACATCAAGATAGACAACAGCTTTCTTTCACAGGATTAACATGGCTGGCAGGGAAGGAACAGAATTTGGTGGTCTGGTGGCTTAATGCTCATAAAGGTCAGTATAATGGGAAAAAATACCACATTTTGTTCCCATGTCTTCATTTATTAGCTACATAACACTGAAGACATTACTTAAAATCAGAGCTTCATCTATTAGTGATAACAAATTATAAAGAGGAATCTTTTCCCCCACAACAGTAATGAGCCCACGTAACGGAGGGGCACGTGCCTGGCTGACTGCCAGCAGCAGGCCAGGCACAAAGTAGCAAAAGTCAGTCAGGAATCACGGGCAGAGGTGCCTTCTAAGTCCCTCGCAAGGATAAAGTTATTATTGATAACAGTAGAAACGAAGGTTTATCGCGGACGCGCTGTGTGCCAAAGGTTGCGAGTGCACTATTCTCACAGCCTATCTCACAAGCTGGTGATGAAACCGACGTAGGAAAGTTAACACATCCGAGGTTACACAGCAACCAAGGGGCAGTCAGAGCCTGTACCCTGCACTCTGAACCCGAAGGCAGTCCACTGCTCCGGCCCATGTCACACTCTCCTGATGCTGGTGTCAGGGATGTCTTACTTGGGAACTGCACTGGAGGTCGAGGGTCGGCGTTCTCCTTCTGTCGTAAAATCACAACGTCCCCATCTTTCAAGCCGTAGGAAGCCAGCGATCTGTGGTTGTCTGTGAGAGGTCTTTCAGCATAGACAATCTACGACCAGAAAAGATTGTACAGTAGAAAGCACTGAGAAGTAACACGGCACAAAACAGGAAGACTACATCCAGCGTCCCTTTTCATCAGACGTCAGTCCCTGCTCAAAACCCCCCAGTGGTTTCCAATCACACCTGGAACAAAAGCCCAAGTCCTTCCCGTTACCAACTAGGCCCAAACCATTTGGTCCCTGGATCTCCTTCTGACTTCATCTCATACTGTAATTGCTGTTCCCCAAATAACACGATCAATTTCCCTCTGGGACTGTTTCTCTTGCTCTTCTCTCTACCTAAGGAATGTTCTTTTCCCAGTCATCTCCTTTTAAAGCAGGCTCTATGCCCAATGTGGAAATTGAACTCACGACCCTGAGATCAAGAGTTGCATGCTCTGCCGACTGAGCCAGCCAGGTGCTCCCCAGTCATTCTCTCTTAAGGTCTCTGATCAAACATTACCTTTTCAGAGCCCTTCATTCATCAGTCTATTTAAAAAGTACCCTCAGGGTGCCTGGGTGGCTCAGTGGTTAAGCCTTTGTCTTCGGCACAGGTCCAGATCTCAGGGTCCTGGGACTGAGCGCCACATCAGGCTCTCCACTCGGTGGGGATCCTGCTTCCCCCACCTCTGCCTACTTGTGATCTCTGTCAAATAAATAAATAAAATCTAAAAAAATAAAAATAAAATAAAATGTACCCTCACCTCTCATGCTATAAATCTAGCTCCTAAAGATTTTTTATTTATTTGACAGAGATCCACAAGCAGGCAGAGAGAGAGGAAGGGAAGTAGGCTCCCCGCTGAGCAGAGAGCCCGATGCGGGGCTCGATCCCAAGACCCTGGGACCATGACCTGAGCCGAAGGCAGAGGTTTTAACCCAGTGAGCCACCCAGGCGCCCCTATAAATCTATTTCTTTATTGTCTTTCTGCCCCCACTAAAACGTAAGCTACTTGAGGACAGGATTTTGTTTTGCTCGCCATATCTCAAATGTGTGTGTGTGTGTGTGTGCACGCGCGCGCGCGTCATGAGAATTTCAAACATGGACTCTCCTAGCAGCTTTCAAGTACGTGATACAGCACTGTTAATTACAGTCACCAAGCTGGACATGACACCCAGTGTGTCCACTTCTAAATGATCCTGCATGACAGGATCCTGCATGACACCGGCACGTCCACGAGCTTTCCAAATACCACCTGCTCTGCATCCCTCCTACCATTCCCAAAGCTCGGTCACACTTACAACTGGAAGATGAAAGGGGAAGAAATTCAGAAAAGAACTAAACACAGATGGCAAAAAGGATCAGGGATGTACTACTAATAAAAACATTTTTATGAGGTGCGACCAAACACTGAAGAAAACCTGAGAGCAGAAACGCAGACAAAGCACCACGTGCAGGAAGCACGGGTACGGAGGGCACAGGGTGCTTTTGCCACGAAGGCACACGAAACCTACTCCACACTGTCACATGCTCCAGTGGGGCATTCGGAGCAAATCCAGGCTTTGAAAGGCTTTCTCCCTAACGACTGACTCTGCACCAGGCCACAGGCCAACGGAGGAGCCTGAGTCCTGTCCTGGCTCTGAGAGGGGCCGCGTCCCTCAGCTGGTCCAGGCTTCACAGTCCCCATTTGTCAAGCAAGCAGGTGGGGCTCGAGAATCACTACAGCTGTCCCTTCCAGGTCTTTCTGCCCCACTACCATCTTACAGCATTTCCTCTTGTGTCCTCAAAGCTTTCACAGTCAGACTGCCTGACACGGAACCTGAAAAGTACAGACTTGTACGGGGAAAAACGAGCTGTCGTATCTGCACCGACGTGAGGAACAGAATGAACAGGAAACCAAATTTCCCAAACCGAGTACTTCTGAGGATGCACAAGAAACTGATTTCAGAGTCTGTAGGTGCCGATGCTTTATAAATTCTATACGTGACTAGAAAACGTAATGTTCGTTCTTACCCTCGACCTACAGAGTTCAAATATGCTACAAGAGACCGCAGCATCATTCCATCAATCCAGTCACACTCTCTGCTTCTCCCTTATTTAAGCGCCACACGCTAAAGGTACGACAGAATCAACACAGACTGTTTGCCATACAACCTGAAAGTCCGATCGTAACGTGTGGGATTGCTGGGAAAACTACCGGAAGTCTGAAGGGACAAGGGTCACGGGTCGGGATGTGCAGCAAGAAGAGGCTTGCCAAGAGAAACGCCACGCAGGCAGCTCTTACAAGGTGGCAGCGACACTGTGAAGCCACCACAAGGAAGGGACCAAGTGGTCCACGGCCCACTCCTTAATTTTCCGGGTACAGAAACTCAACTATCAGTATATTCAGAGATACAGTCAGTGGACACATTCTAACTGGACTTATAAAAGAACATTTATCAACAACAGGAAATCGAACTCAGCAGCATCAGAATGCTCCAGGCCACCAGGTCACTGGAGTCTCTTCAGCCTGAGGAGCCACAATCAAACACGACTGCTGCGTGCACTGCTATCAGAACGGCTTCCCGAGGTCTCCCACTTACCAACGTCCTCTCATGAAAGTGTCGTTTTATGAGGTGGGCCTTATTGGTCCCATTTTATGGACAGGGAAATGGATACAGAGTTCAGTGACCTGAGACTACACAGCTATTAAGAAGAGAACTAGGTCTGGAACCACGTCTGCCTGACCATAGAGCCCATAATCATCCCTAAGGACCACATACAGCTTCCCCAAACCTAAGTCCAAAGTGGCCTGGGGAATCACTGGGTGACCTGAACAAGAGCTAGCAAGCCATCCACTAAGGGCCTATCCTCACCCGAGGGATCTAAACCCTGTCCACTGCTCACTGCATCCCCTGCCCTGAACTCAAGAAAGACCGCTCGCAACTCCTCCCTCTTTGGCCTCCCACCTTGTAGACACCGTACATCACTCCGTACAGTGTTCCTTTAACACAGTCTTTGCTCAGCAGACAATATAATTTTTTTTACAAAGTAAGACAGCCTCATCTAACAATAGGATCCAGGTAATAACCAGCACCAAACACGTATAGGAAGTGTGGAATACTGCTATCTGCCCCACTTCCTAAAAATACTCGACTGGAGAATGTGGGTGAGGAGCAAAGACCCTTCACACTGACAGAGCAGCAGGCGTATTCCATTTGAGTCAAGGACACAAATGAGATAAACAAAAGCTTAGCTGAAATTGTAACTGCCACAAAGAACTGATTTCTTTTTGTTAAGACGGGTTTAAAAGTCTAAGAAAGACAATCTTTTTATAGCTTAAGTCCTAGAATAAGTCTGAATGATCTTCTAGCTTAATAGGAGAATATCAGACCAATGGTTTCAAATTTCTACCAGTCAAAACAAAATGAGTGTCAGTAATGGCACTGGTGATCTTCCTACCCGACCACTCAACTCAAAGGCCACAAAGCTAAAAATTCTAGTTTTGCCAGTGATGAGAACATCAAACAGGAAAACTGATACTGCTTCGAGTCTCTAGCTGTGGAAGTGGCCCACCTGCAAGGACTTACTCCAGCAGGGTCACCCTCGAGATGGAATTCTCCTCTCAATGAACATTCAACAACAGTATGATTAAAACAACTCCAGGACCTGTAAGCATGATATCAAACATTTCCCGGTCTCTGAATGAGAGCCTTCAATCAGCAGAAATCGCAATATGTTTCTAGCAGTAAGGACCAGACACTGGCCTCAAAATCTTTGGACTCACATCTCCAATGGCTACATAATAGTATCTACCAGTAACAGAAAGCCCATTGTATGTCAAGTGATCTACATAAACTATTTCATGCGACAGCTTGACTTTTACAGCCCTGCTGGAAAACAATTTGGCAACAGTTACCAAGAGCCTTTCAAAAGACCTGGCAATTCCATATCTAAGAAAATATCCTGAGAAAATAATCAGAAATGGGGACAAAGCCTTAAGTATATAGATATCCATGAAAATGATACTCGTAACTGCTTCCAATTTTCCCCAACTCAAATGCTCAGCAATAAGGAAATTGTTAAATAAATTGTGGTACATCGATAGGATGGTATATGATATAGCCATTAAAATAAATTTGAAGAATTTGATATGCGATGGGAAAATGCTGACAATGTAGTGTTGAGGGAACAAAGAAAGTTGAAACTGTTAGTGTAGTTCAGGGCATTGTGTTTAAAAGATACATATGTAAAAGGAAGTAAGCACAGAAAAAAAAAAATACACTAAAAAGTAAACTGCAGGGGCGCCCAGGTAGCTCAGAGGGTAAACCGTCTGCCTTCAGCTCAGGTCATGATCCCAGGGTCCTGGGACTGAGTCCCACATTGGGCTCTCTGCTCAGTGGACAGCTTGCTTCACCCTCTCCCCCCATGCTCATGCTCTCTCTCGCTCCCTCTCTCAAATAAATAAAATCTTAAGCAAACTGCAGTTATTCGGGGGTTATGAGGTAGTAACTTACTGTCCTTATCTTTTCCTGTAAGTTACAAATTCTCTACAATGAATATGTAGTATTTATGAGGGGGGAGGGCATGAAAATTACCTGCGAAAATAAACATGTCCAAACCAGCTACAACAGAAAATTTCAGTTTCCACGGATTTAAAACAGTGTTTTACAAACCACAAGTCATGCTGTGTACAGAGCTGCTTTTCCAGGATCATACAGTCACTGCTATTATTTGGTATTTAAATATGCCTTTCATTTGAGAATCCTTACACATTCCGCACACATCTTTACCACATGCCACCTACAGGGGAAATTATAATGATGTTTCAAAAATACAAAGACATTAATTTAAAGTGAAGCTGAGTTCTGATAATTCTTTGAAGTTTGCCCAGCCAAGTCTGCATCAAAGTATCAAACAGAGCCATGACGGGCTTCCAAGCCCGCACTTGTATTAAGAGACGGAACATGCCCAGCTTTAATCACATGTACGAGCAGAGATCGTTTCTAGTCTAAATTTGTTATCGTCACATTATAACTACTATAATCAGACCAGAGCTGTTAAAAATTAACACCTTTTCCAAGTGCATACTTAGGCCCTACTGAGGCTGGTGTGGAAGGCTGAATTCAAAACCAGTGATCCTCAATGCAGGGAAGGCAAAGCAATTCTTTAAATATAAAGGAACAGAGCAGTATTGGAATTTTCATTTCCATTTATTTGAGTTCATCCTTCCTTAAATTCTATCTTATGGTTGTTCATAACAGACACAAGGTATTCCTTCATGTGTATTACATAACGATGTTTCCAGTTATAAACATATATGTGCATATATATACAATGTGTATCACATGTGCTCATAATGTTTGTAACTTTTTATATATCACAAAGATGTATGTTCTAAAACATTTTACTCAGAGGGATACATCACCAAAAAAGTTTGGAGATCAGTGGTGGAGATCTTGATGGGAAAGAATAGTCAGGAACATTAAAATGAAAAAAAAAAATCCCTTTAAAAATGGAGGAGAAGGAATGAGAATGGAGAAGGTAACTAAGAAGAGAGAGGTCAAGAGACCAAGAGAACTGTGAAAGGAAGAAAGGGAAAATGAGTAACAGGGGAGAATCTGGGAGGTAAAGGGGTGGGAGAGGGGGTCTCGCGTTAGTGACATTTTTGTAGGTAAGAACTATAACGATGCTTACTATTATGATTTGGTGAAGGGAAATGACTCAAGTGTCTGGGGTGGATCCTGTTCCTGCCCGATGGGCAAACAACTGAAAAGACAACCGACCACCAGACATCTTAAAATAGATCTGTGTTAGGTTACAATGGAGCCAACAGGAACAAACTTGAAACACAGGAGCTGTTTACCGCTCAGTAATACAAGGTTCACAGTACTGGGAGCCCAGGTTTGCATATGCTAATCTGGCTTGGGAAGGAAGTAAATGCCCAAAGGTGACCTAAGGAATAAGAAAGAAATCTGGAGTCAGCCTAACTGTTCAGTGACTGAGGTATTCCTCACACCCTGCGCTGTGCCAATCTGACACACTCTTCACTCAAAACCAGCAGGATTTGAGGCAGCGCCAACCTTCATCTTCTTCCAAGTCCTAATAACAACAAAATCAACTTACATCTTAATTTTTTATTTCCCCCACCAGCTGGTGATTTTAACCAGGGTGAGAGAAAAGCCACCTTCAAATATTTTAAGAGTTGAGTGTTCCTCTCTAATTAAACTGTCCTTTCCTAGCTCTCCACTTGAGGGATTCACTGACAGGAACTGGTTCCTCAGTTTTTGTGGATTAGCTGTTTACTGAAAAAGGCTCAAAGAATCCCTTTTACCAAGTTCTTTGTAACTTTCATCAGTCGGCCTATTTGAGTGACACTTTGCACCTTGAAACAAAATCTTTCTTGATACTCAGTTTTACGCCAAGGTTCCAAAGTTCACATACTGTAAAGGAATCATACTTGCTTCTGAACAAAATACTGACGCATCTGTTTACCATAACACAGGGCAAAACACGCTGTAGTTAGGCAATAGTTTTGGGAACTATTTCATAACTGCAGTAGGAAATCAAGATTTACATTCTGGGGCCTTGCAGGACTTCTATAATTTTCTTAATGTTCAGACCATGTCCTCCAAGGTCCACTTATCAAGTTAAGATTTAAACGTTTTAGCGTGAAGGCCAGAGTTATCGTCACCAATTCTGTTTGGGGGGCAGCCTCAAGGCATTTTGAGAATAAATTACTTTGCTTATTTGAAATGTTAGAGCAGCTGAACTTCCTTCCAGCAGGGTATGGAAATGAAACAGGCGAATCACACCCAGAATACACTAGGCCGTTTTTACAAAAATATCCTCATAAAGCAACGAACTTTGAACCCAGCCAAACTCTGAGTTATGGCCTGAAATAAAGAGAGATTCTGGCCTGCTCCCAGCGAAGAAACCAGAGCAACAAACAACTTGAATTGAACTAATAACTTCCCCCCTCCCTTTGGTGGGGGGAAGGGGAGGAAATTGCCTTTTTTTTTTTTTTTTTTTTAAAGAATTTAACCAGAAATGCCATGTGGTAGGGAAAAGGGAACAGGGCATTTCCAAATGCCTCAAAACAAGGTAATGGAAGTCTCAAAACTTTTTCTTTCACTTAGAGTGCAAACCTCTACATTTAAAGGTAAATTCGTTTGCTTAAGCAGGAGCCCGCTCCAAAAAAGCAGATGCACAACAACCTACCACAGTGATCCAAACTGGTATTTCTGGTTGGGGAAGCAGGATGTACGAATTCCTGCAAACCTCGAGCTGCTGCTTCTATTCTACGCTGTTCATAATGATGTAGGTCCACACCACCCCAAACGAGGGATTATTAGGGGAGAAAGGGCCAGAGAGCCAGAAGGTGGGGCGGGCCGCCCAACTGTCCACGCGCCCCTCGGGCTGCAGTGGGTGCGTCTGCGGTCAGGTTCTCCGCTCCCTCCCATGGCACCCCACCCCACGCTCGGCGTGAGTGGGGGCAGCCAGCGATTCCAGCTCCCTCCCGGACGCGGGGGCGGGCTGGGAGAGGCCATCCTGCTCCCGCCACCCCCAAATTCTCACCAGTAGCAAAGGGAGGGCGTGAGACCCGGAGGCAGGAGGGTTAGCCCCGTAGGGAGACTCTGCTCGCTGCCCGGCATACCTGGCTCTCCGCTGCGGGGATGCCGGACTCGAGCTCGCACAGCGCGCGGAAGTTGTGCAGCTCGAAGTCTGCGTCGACCTGGAGGGAAAAGGTCACCTCGGAGAGGTCCCTCCGCACACAGTACACGGTGAGCAGCATGGCCCGGGCCCGACCCAGCTCGGCTCGGCCCGGCCTCGGCGCTGGGCTGCGGGGCGGCGGCGGGGCCTGGCTGGTGCTGCGGGCGAACGGCGCGAGCTGCTCGCTCGCCCGCTTGCTCCTTCCCTCCCTCACACACGCTCAGTGACTCACTCCCTCCCGCCCTCACTACCAAGCACGGCCGCCGCCACCCGCCTGCGACTCCGTCTGCTTGCTTGCCGGCCTGCCTCCCACCGCTGCCGCCAAGCGCGCCAGCCGCCGGCGCCCCGCCCCGCCGCAACGCGGCTGCCGTAAAGCCCGCCTCGCCCTCTCTGCCTTCGCGACGCAGAGAAGGGGTGGGCCGGGAAGAGGAAGCGGGAAGCTAGAAGAGGATTGGAGGGAAGGGAAGGCTTGGGAAGCTAGGGAAAGGAAGGGCGAGAAAAGGGGCGGGAAGGAAGGGAATGAGGGAAATCGAAGAGTGATTTAAGAGTTGAGGTCGGTGGTGGAGTCGCGATCTCATTCACCCAAATGAGACATTTATTAAGCGCCGACCAGGTGGATACAAAAATGGGTAAAAACACAGGTCTTTCTTTGCCCTTGTGGAACTCTCACGCCACTAAGCAGAGAGTTCTAAAATGTATTTTACCAAGTAGAAATTGAGGCTTAGAAAGATTATTCACTTCCTGTCCCAATGATTCAGAGTTAAAACCGAAATCATGACCCTGTCTAGTGTACAGAACCGAGCTTACTCTGGCCCCTGCCTTCTTCTCCAGACCTGCCTCCTGAGTCCTTCCTGCACTCTGCCCACCCAGCCACACCGGGACCTTTGGTTCCTCCAAGGCTCCATTCCCCTGTCTGGCAAAGTTTTCTCTCTACTCGGGACTGTCTCCTTCCTACATCTAGCATCGCCCCCAGCGCCTACTGCAGAGCCTTTATGGGGCACAGCTCAGAACCTACTCGATAAAGTATTTGCTACTTTAATGGCCTGTTCATGGCCACATGGCTGATGACTGGATAGAGGCCCAGAACATGAGGATAAGGTCACAAAAACCGATCCAACAGTAGGCATCTCCCTACTTAACACCGCCCAATTCCCCATCTGTGGAGTAGGGACCCCTCTTCTGTTGTAACAGGAGGGAAGATAGAAACAGGAAGGCTGTGGATGCAGGTTAAGTAGGTAGGTTTGGTGGCAAGAAAGTCAACGACCATCGGAAGACTTCCCTCTGTGAAGGATGGAAGTTCATCTGTGGAGAATAAAGAGAAAAACTGCAGGGGCAGGGGGTGGAGAAGAGTGGTTGTATCAGCTGCAGAACGCCTATCAGTGATTTAAGCAAATAAAGGTTTATTTTTCTCACAGGATAGGAAGCCAGGAGGTAGAAAACTGCATCTGTTCAGTGACTCAGTAATATGGGGGCCTCTATTTCTGTAAATATTTTGGCCTTTCCTGGAGGGTCATGATATGGCTGGCTGCCTCCACTCCATGCAGCATTTTCTTGTTTAAGGCAAGAACTTGGCCAGAAGTCCTGCAGCAAGTTTCTACTTACACCTCACTGGCCACCATTATGCCACACAGATGCAAGCAAGAGTAGGAAAGTAGGTGTTTAGCGTCTCTCACCTCTTTAAAGGACATAGACAGGAGAAAAAGGTTTTTGGAACATGTGTTAGGTGAGACCTACATAGTCTACTACTATCTACATAGACCTATGGCAGAGGATATTTGAAATATCCATTGCAAATTGAAACAAGTTGAACAGAGAAATGATGTAGAATTGTCAGGTGGTGTCAAGGATCCAACTGAGGTTTGATTAATTTTTCCGTGTTACATCTTTTTTCTAGTGGTGCTCAGGTGCCCGGGTGTGACAGATTCTATTTTCCAAAGATGGCGACGATAATATCTCCCATCTTACATGTTCTTCTTACAATGTGACCGTAACATTCCTCCTATTAAGAGATGGGGTGTATGTTCCCCCATTTGAATCATGGCTGACTGACTCTGGTATAAATGTCATTGTGTGCCTTCTGAGGCTAGGTTATAAATGGCAATTTAGCTCCTGCCTGGTTCTCTGGGAACACTTGGTCTTAGAACCCAGCAACCATGCTGTGTGGAAACCCAAACTACATGGAGAGAATATGTGTGGATGTTCCAGGCAACAACCCAGCTGAGATCAAAGTCAATTCCTAGGAACACCATCAAAGACACTTTCAGTTGGTTTCAACCCCAGACATTGAGCCGTCTCCAGCATGTGGGTCTTTCCAGCAGAGGTCTCAGACGCGATGGGGCCATCTCCACTGTACTCTTTTTGAATCCCCGACCCACAAATCTGTGAGCATAATACAATGATTATTTTGCTTGATTAAGTTTGAGGTGGTTTGTTACAAAGCAACAATAAATGGTACACTGAATACAGTCTCTTTATATATATATATAAACATATATGTATACACACAAGTATATGTATATGTACACACACACACACACACACATATATACCTACCACATCTTCCTTATCCATTCATCTATCAATGGACACGTGGGCTGCTTCCATAGTTTGGTTGTTATGGTTTTTTTTTTTTTAAGATTTTATATATTTGAGAGAGAGAAAGAGAGCATAAGCAGGAGGGGCGGAAGTGGGAGAAAATCTCAAGCAGATTCCCCACTGACTGTGGAGCCCAACATGGGGCTTAATCCCAGGAGATCATGACCTGCCATCATGATCTGAGCTGAAACCAAGAGTTAGATGCTTAACCGACTGTGCCACCCAGGTGCAACAAACACAGGGGGCATGTAGCCCTTTGAATTACTGGTTTTGTATTTTGGGGGTAAACACCCAGGTGTGTGATTACTGGATTGTAGGGTTGTTCTATTTTCTTTTTGAGAAACCTCCTCACCATTTTCCACAGTGGCTGCACCAGTTTGCATTCCCACCAACAGTGCAAGAAGGTTCCTTTTCCTCCACATCCTTGCTAACCCTTGTTTCTTGGGGTTTTGCTTCTAGCCATTCTGACAAATATGAGGTTGTATCTCATTATAGCTTTGATTTGCAATTCCTCAATGATGAGTGATATTGAGCCTCTTTTCATGTGTCTTATTGGCCATGTGTATGTCTTCTTTGGAGACTTGCCTTCTGCTCATTTTTTAATTAGGTTATTTGTTTTTTGGGAGATGAGCTGTATCAGTCCTTTATATATTTTGGATACTAACCTTTTATCAGATATGTCATTTGCAGACATTACTTACACAAATTTTAAAAAAAGTGGTAAGAGAGAGGGGTGCCTGGGCGGCTCAGTCGGTTAAGTGTCTGCCTTCGGCTCAGGTTATAGTCTCTGGGTCCTGGGATCGAGCCCCATGTCAGGCTCCCTGCTCAGCAGGGATCCTGCTTCTCGCTCTCCCTCCACACGCGTTCCCTCAAATAAATAAATAATTTTTAAAAAAGATTTTATTTATTTATTGGACACAGAGAGAGAGAGAGAGATTACAAGTAGGCAGAGAGGCAGGTGGGGGGGGGGGAAGCAGGCTCCCCGCTGAGCAGAGAGCCCAATGCTGGACTTGATCCCAGGACCCTGGGATCATGACCTGAGCCAAAGGCAGAGGCTTAACCCACTAAGCCACCCAGGCACCCCTAAGTAAATAAAATCTTAAGGAAAAAAAGTGGTGACAGTGGACATCCTTGTCTCGTAACTGACCTTAGGGGGAAAGCTCTTGGCTTTTCACCACTGAGTATGATGTTGGCTATAGGTTTTTCATATACAACTCTTATGTCAAGGTATGGGCCTTACCCCTTTTGGACTCCGCTCAAATGCTTCTTGAGATCTGGTTCAGAGTGTGGACTCTCACTTCTCTCATCACTCTATGAGGTAGACTTTGCATTTCCAACATACAAGTAGTAAATGGTGGTTCTAGGATTCAAACCAGGCAATCTGACTTGAGTCCACACTTTTTTTTAAAGTTTACTTATTTATTTAAGTAATCTGTACACCCACAAGGGGGCTTGAACTCATGACCCAGAGATGGAGGGTCGAATGCTCTTCTTGCTAAGCCAGCCAGGGACCCCACAAGTCCACAATCTTAACTACTACTTTATATGGTTACATGTAAGACCTCATTTCATGCTTCTAAAAGCCCACAGAGATAGGAACTACAGGTTTCCCTTGCTCTCTGAAAGTAGATGGTTCCTACGAAACCTTTTGTAAATTGAAATGGTGCAAAACAAAGAAGTGACTACCATTTTCAAACAGAAGATCCTCTTCAGATTTCTTTTGGTTAGTGAAAACAAGTACTAATGTAGGTCTTTCGTAAAACTGAAGTTTCATAAACCAAACTTTTGGATGGCAGGGGAATTCTGTATTTGTATTCATTCCCATTTCAAGGATAAGGAAATTGAGGTGTGGGAATTTTAACCAACTTGCCCAGGTTCACACAGCTAGTGAATAGCAGGTTCTCCAAGTTGTAAAAAAACAAAAAAACAAAAACAAAACTAAACAAAACAAAAACCCCAATCTTTAAGAACAAAAAACATCTATTTTCAACCTTTAACTAGAGCACCAGCATTCTGCTGGCACACTACACTTGAAGACACCTGGCTGTGTTCCAAAACCCTTTCAACACCATATGGTCACCACCAGCAAAGTTTCTGCCTACTTCTAGGTTCTTGCCTAATTCTTCTCTACTAGGAAGAACAGATGGGTAAAGGCATTTACCCTATTTGATTTTTAAAACTCCTACAGTTGGTAGTGCCTGGGTGGTTCAGTTAGTTAGGTGTCTGCGGCATGTCAACTGAGAGCAGACAGTGCTCCATTTTATTCATTTTACCTTAACACAAAAACTTTCTCATTTGGTTTCCTATTTCTTAGGCCAGGATCATGTGCAGATATAGAATGCAATGCCTCTTCCCTTTCCTGCTTATCGTTCCTAAAGTCTGGAGGCATTTCAGTTCCACTAAATTCTAGGTCAATTCTTCCTCTTCATTTCCAGTGTACCGTGTACTCATTGGGTTATCAAAATATTGCAGGTAATTATGGTTGTAATTTCAAGCACCATAATTTGCCTACTCAGAAGTTTGTAGCTAGAGATCAAAATGTACTTTGATTACCAGAGTCAGCCCGGGCAAAAGTACAAAACAGGACAAAGTTTGTCCTTGGCAAACTCAACATGATGCTCCTTCTTTGGCTCCCTTTCTCTCCACCTGTTCCTCTTCATTCTCATGGGTCCTACTTTCTTC